TAGAAAAAATTAGCCGGGCACGATGGCACATGCCTGTAGTCCCAGCTACTCGGGAGGCTGAGGCAGGAGGATCGCTTGAGCCCAGCAGTTTGAGGTTGCTGTGAGCTAGGCTGACACCACAGCACTCACTCGAGCCTGGGCAACAGAGTGAGACTCTGTCTCAGAAAAAAAAAACTGTGTGGTAGTCGTGACGGACAGCTGGCTACGTGAAGGTACGCGGTTTTCTCATAGTTGATTCTTTCTTGCGTGTTGTGTTGAGTTGAATGGTGGTCTCTCCGCTTTGCCAAACTCATGTGTACCTGGCATGTGCGCGGGAGACCTTATTTGGAAATAAGGTCTTTGCCGGTATAATTAGTTAAGATGAGGTCGTTGTGGAGTAGGGAGGTCCCTAAATCCAGTGACAGTGTCCTCCTAAGAGACAGCAGAGGAGACACAGACGCAGAGGAGAAGCCACGTGGAGACGGAGGCAGAGACTGGAGCGACACGGCCACAAGCCCAGGGACGCCTGGAGCCCCCAGGAGCCGGAAGAGGCAGGAAGGAGCCTCCCCTGGAGCCTGCAAAGGGAGCGTGGCCCCGAGACACCTGCGTCTCACACTCCTGGGCTCTGGGACTGAGAGAGGACACATTCCTGTTGTTTTAAGCCCCAGTTTATGGAAACTTACTGCACCAGCCCAGGAAACAAATATAACTAACCCTAACCCTAACCCGAAGCACTTACGAAGTGATAAGTGAACCCACAGTGAAATCAGTGGGTCGAAGGCAACAGCAGGGACAACCACACACGCAGGAGATTAAGATGAATGGAATGTCTGAGACCACAGCAACCCAGCAAGGGGCTGGAAGGGGCTTCCTCTTGCCTCGGAATCAGGGGCTCCAGATCCCTGTAGTCTTCTGTCTCTCTCTCTTTCTCTCTGACTCTGACTCTGTCTGAGGAACTCCATTCTGACCTGCGGATACGCTACACCTCCTTTCGAGGAAGAAATGGACCTTCTGCCGTCCTTTTTCTCTGTCTGATGAGAATAAAACCACTGGGCGGGGATGTCAGCCCCGTCCATATGCTGGTTGCACTACCGCATTGACGCCCTTGTTTCCCCGTCACCTCCAACCTCTTAGCGGACGTCACAATCGAATCCCGGCATCCGGACAGGTGCCAGGCACGGGGCGGGCCCTCCCTACAGGTTCAGGTCCTTGGGTAAGCAGAGACAATTGGTCCTTTACTGAGCCTTGGTGTCCAGGATTTTGCTGGGGGTCGGTCCCATAGACCTGAGTGACCACCTGCATGGCTGACCTCGGTCTTCAGCCTTTCCGGAAGCCACGTTGGTCAGGTTGCTCAAAGCCCCACATGATAAACCCATCCCGTTGTTAGTGTGGACTGTCCGGGGTGGGCCGAAGACCAGGTAAACAGAGACACTCTTAGGAGGCCGGTCGTTGTTAGACATGAGAGGTGCTGGTCAAGGGTTCATCCTTTCTGTAGAACATGCAGGGTATGGGCAACTCGGGTCTGCTGAGTTAGCCCTTACTAGATAGGGCTACCCAAGATCCCTTCCAGAATCGGGAATTCTTTTGTTTTGTTCTATTTTGCTTTCAGACAGGATCTTACTCTGTTACCCAGGTTGGAGTGCAGTGGTGCAATCATAGCTCACTGCAGCCTCGAACTCCTGGGCTCAAACGATCTTCCTGCCTCAGCCTCCCAAGTAGCTGGGACTACAGGTGTGCACCACCATGTCCAGATAATTTTTATTATTTTATTTTTCA